CCCGCTTTAAGTCTCCCCTGACGGCCTTGTATGTTTTAATACATGCAGTCGGACTCTACCCCATAACGCTGTTATGATTGATTAATTCCATAAACCAGCATCAATATTATTATTTATGCGGTAAATTTATTAAGTATAATGGTTTAAATTAAAATATCTTTATTGGGATATAGATGGTACTCCAGGGTATTGTTTTTACATTGCTGATACACGTGCTCTCTAATTCTGTTTATATATGCAACGTTTAGGCTATCTAGTTGTAAACTGTCATTGTCAGATTGTTACTGTATTTTCGAGATGTGAGCGTGAGTGTACAGGAGTACGCAAGTGTGGGATACATCCAATCGTATGAGTTGAAGCGCCACTGCCGTTAAACCAAGGCCGTAGCTAGCGGGGGGGGGCATGGGATAGCAGCTGCCCCCTGAGTTTGGGAATTTTTTTAATCTTAAAATAGAAAAGATTCGAGCAACCACGAATTGAAATAAAAAATGGTAAGCCAGTTGCGTGTACTTTGTTTATATTTATTGCTGAGCGCGTTGACACTTCGACGGGTACAGGTAAGACGCATGCACCCAGCACAGCAGGTAAAACGTTACCTTCAAGTATTTCAGATTGACACGTCAGCCATGTCAGCTCTGAAGAAACGTTGCACACAACTGTCAATGTTGAATTTTTAGAGTACAAGCAGTAAGGAATCGAGGTAAGCAGCGCCACAGTGTCCACACAGCACCATAGTCGTCATGCAACGCCACAGTCGTCAAGCAGCGCCACAGTGGCCACACAGCTCCACAGTCGTCAAGCAACGCCACAGTCGTTATGCAGCGCCACAGTCGTCAATTCCCGCCACAGTCGTTATGCAGCACCACAGTGGCCACACATAGCCACAGTCGTCATGCAGCGCCACAGTCGTCAAGCAGCACCAAAGTTGCCACACAGGGCCACAGCCGTCAAGCAGCGCCACAGTGGCCACACAGCATCACAGTCGTCAAGCAACGCCACAGTCGTCAAGCAGCACCACAGTTGCCACACAGCGCCACAGCCGTCAAGCAGCGCCACAGTGGCCACACAGCACCACAGTCGTCAAGCAACGCCACAGTCGTCAAGCAGCGCCACAGTGGCCACACAGCACCACAGTCGTCAAGCAACGCCACAGTCGTTATACAGCGCCACAGTCGTCAATCCCCGCCACAGTCGTTATGCAGTGCCACAGTGGCCACACATAACCACAGTCATCATGTAGCGTCACAGTCATCAAGCAGCGCCACAGTCGTCAAGCAGCGTCACAGTTGTTATGCAGCGAAACCATCGTCAAGCAGCGCCATAGTAGTCACGCAGCACCACAGTGAGCACACAGTGCCACAGTCGTTCTGCATCTCCACAGCTGTCATGCAGCGCCACAGTCATCAAGCAGCACCAGTCATTATGCAGCACCACAGCCGTCATGCAGCACCACAGTCGTCAAGCAGCACCACAGTCATTATGCAGCGCTACAGTTGCCACACAGCGCCACAGTGGACACACAGTGCCACAGTCGTCAAGCAGTGCCACAATCATTATGCAGCGCCATAGTCGTCATGCAGCGCCACAGTCGTCAAGAAGCACCACAGTCATCAAGCAGCACCACAGTCATCAAGCAGTGCCACAGTCGTTATGCAGTGCCACAGTGGCCACACAGCACCACAGTTGTAACGCAGCACCACAGTTGCCACACAGCGCCACAGTCGTCATGCAGCGCCACAGTCGTTATGCAGCACCACAGCGGCCACAAAGTGCCACAGTGGCCACACAGCGCCACACTCGTCATGCAGCGCCACAGTCGTCAAGCTGCACCACAGTTTCCACACAGCACCACAGTTGTCATGCAGTGCCACAGTCGTCAAGCAGTGCCACAGTCGTTATGCAGTGCCACAGAGGCCACACAGCACCACAATGGCCACGCAGCACCACAGTTGTCACACAGTGCCACAGTCGTCAAGCAGCACCACAGTCATTATGCAGCACCACAGTGGCCACAAAGCACCACAGTGGCCACATAGTGCCACAGTCGTCATGCAGCCCCACAGTCATCATGTAGCAACCACAGTGGCCACACAGCGCCACAGTCGTCATGCAGCATCACAGTCATCATGCAGCGCCACAGTCGTCAAGCAGCGCCACAGTCGTCAAGCAGCACCACAGTCGTTATGCAGCGCCACAGTCATCATGCAGCATCACAGTCATCATGCAGCGCCACAGTCGTCAAGCAGCGCCACAGTTGTCAAGCAGCACCACAGTCGTTATGCAGCGCCACAGTCGTCATGCAGTGCCACAGTCGTCATGCAGCGCCACAGTCATCAAGCAGCACCAGTCATTATGCAGTGCCACATTGGCCACACAGCACCACGGTTGCCACACAACGCCACAGTTGTCATGCAGCGCCACAGTCGTCAAGCAGCACCACAGTCGTTATGCAGTGCCACAGTGGCCACACAGCGCCACAGTGGCCACACAGCACCACAGTTGTCAAGCAGCAGCACAGTCGTTATGCAGTGCCACAGTGGCCACACAGCGCCAGTGTCCACACAGCGCCACAGTCGTCAAGCAGCGCCACAGTCATCATGCAGCGCCACAGTCAAGCAGCACCAGTCGTTATGCAGTGCCACATTGTCCACACAGCGCCACAGTTGCCACACAGCGCCACAGTTGTCATGCAGCACCACAGTAGTCACGCAGCACCACAGTTGCCACACAGCTCCACAGCCGTCATGCAGATTTATAGTCGTCGTACAACGTCACACTCGTCACGCGGTGCCACAGCCATCAAGCAGCGTCACAGTCACCATGCAGTGCCACGGTCATCACGTAGCGCCAGATTCTCCAGCAGCGCCACAGTCGTCAAGCAGCGCCACAGTCGTCAAGCAGCGCCACAGTCGTCAAGCAGCGCCACAGTCGTCAAGCAGCGCCACAGTTGTCATGCAGCGCCACAGTAGTCATGCAGCACTACAGTCGCCATGCAGCACTACGGTCGCCATGAAGCGCCACAGTCGTCGTGCAGCGCCACAGTCGTCAAGCAGCGCCACAGTCGTCATGCAGCACTACAGTCGTCATGCAGCACTACAGTCGCCATGCAGCACTACGGTCGCCATGCAGCGCCACAGTCGTCGTGCAGCGCCACAGTCGTCATGCAGTGCCACAGTCGTCGTGCAGCGCCACAGTCGTCATGCTGTTTCCTGTAAACAAGCATTTTGCGCACGTTGTATGAGATAGTTATGTAACACGACCTGGTATGTCAACTGTGGCACTTCATAATGTAATTAGGTAGGATGGCACTTGTATTATAATTATATAGTTTTTATTATAATTGTTTAAATATATTCATTTGTGCGGAAAAATGTATTTTTAATCCGCTCTTATATGTTAGCATAGAAAGTACAATGAGAATATATATATATCAAGAAGAGTAAATACAAGACACAATAAAATACACTGAATTTTGAATGGGGGAAGTTGTTGAAACCTGATCACGTGTCAGAACCGAATATTGACTTGACTCTCGGAACTTGTAACGTGTGAATATAACACAGCACATCCTGTGAGCCATGATGTTTTGTGTGTTTTACTTGTCAGCGAATGAATACTATGTAGTGTGCTTAGGAGGTTATGTTTTGTCGGCGTTTGTTTATCTGTCTATCTATCTATCTGTAAGCAGGATATCTCAAAAAGTTATCAAATTGACATAAGTAGAAATGTAATGGTAATAACAATTTTGGTAATGATTCTTCAGTTATTACCCAAAACGCTTTTGACGAATTTTTATTGAATTTAAGGTACGTATAACTAAATCAAAATACATGCGCATTTGCGTAGTTTGCTGTTTCAACGAACATTACTACTGTGTGGTTTACTAAAACCAAGTTTTTACTCGCAATATCGAATACAAAAAAATCACGTTTTTCATACTCCATATGTAAGGCCATGTAGATGCAAGATTGTGGTTGTTGGTTGGATGGTATACGTTGGTTTAAAAGACATTCACATTCTACGTATGCTCCACGCGACATTCTTATGCATAGGCAACTACCCAACTAGCCAGCATATCGTAGCTGGCCATGTTTACAAAACAAATAGGAGTGTCGTTGAGTTTCTAGCATTCGAATAAAAGATACATATCTACTATGTACATCAGTTTACATCAAGATATCAATCTCAGAAAAACGCAAGAACTCTGATTGATTTCAATTTTGTTTAAAGGGGAACCGCTCAATCCCATGGATTGCACCAAAGAATCATGGGACACTATTGTTTATGTTGTTTACAATGTTAATCTATCTTTTGTTATCCATTGTTATTTTAATCCAGAAAGTAAATTTGTTGTGAAATTAATCTTAACTGGAAGGTGCCCCTTTAAGTATATGACGTCATATGGGTTTGTTGATTCAAAACGCATGTTCATAAACACTGTTGTTATTCTTGCGCAGATATCTCCAACAAAGGGAGAATATGGCCAGGATATAGCCGTATACAATATCACTAATTTCCAAATCAATATGTATTGTTGCATTGTCATTGTTTTGTTTTCTGGTATGCTATATTGTATTATTTTTCTGTACCACGTGACCAAGGTCTAGAATTGAAATATTTGATACTGAGCTATACTATTACTAATACATGTATCAAATAAAAATGCAGGAAATTAGCTCACCGCAGATAACAATGAGTCACGAGGTATTGAAATAATTCTACGAGAGTATTTAAAACCGGAAAACACCATACGTAATATAGTATAACAATGAATAGATTATGTTAATGTTGCGAAATATTGTGTCCATTGGACGTTTCAAGGAGCGGCGGTTAATTAATTCTATTCACGAATTGTAGACGTGTAATAGAAGCTTCGTAGACGATGCTACTTTACATGCCGTGTGTTATGGAGTGGAATAGAAGTCTCCCTAGCGGCTTGTCCTGAAACACGCATTCAAAGATGCCAAATTTATATTGCTTTAAAAAAAATACCAAGATTGTCATGACTAATAGTAATTGCAGAACGAGTGTTTGAGTCCTTTTTACAGTAATTAAGGAACTTTAAAACCGTAACCATGACGACCAATAAGTATTTCATATGTCTTTGATTGGTAAAATTCAGCTTAACACAGAAGGAACGCTATATTGCTAATATGTCTCAAATTCCGATTGACCTTTGAAGGGATGTGATTCTATTAGTTAGAATATGTGCACTG